GGCTAGGGCTTCAGCCAGTTTGATGAAGTCAACAAAAAATTAGCTACCGGTTCTACCGAACCGGTGCAAGCCAGCTGAATCCCACCACTGGGTCAACTTATCTTCCAAAGTCCCAGAAGGCAAGATAAGAAGCAATGGATGGAAACTAACCAAGGAGAGAAGCAAACTGGAACTAAGGAGAAATGTCCTGACAGAACAATTAACCATTGGAACAGTTTGCCTTCAGATATTGTGGGTGCTCCATCATTTGAGGTTTTCAAGAAGAGATTGCACAACCGTTTGTCCAGAATGGTATAAGGACTCTTGCTTGAACAGGGGGTTGGACTAGAAGACCTCCAAGGCCCCTTCCAACTCTGTTATTCTGCTATTCTTCCAATATTTGAGGGGTTGCCACAAAGAAGAGGGAGTCAAACTATTCCCCAAAGCACCTGAAGGCAGGACAAGAAGCAACGGATGGAACCTAATCAAAGAGAGAAGCAAGCTAGAACTAAGGAGAAATTCCCTGACAGTGAGAACAATTAATCAGTGGAACAACCTGCCTCCAGAAGTTGTGAATGTTCCAGCAATGGAAGTTTTTAAGAAGAGATTGGACAACAATTTGTCTGAAATGGTATAAGGTTTCCTGCCTGAGCAGGGGGTTGGACTAGAAGACCTCCAAGGTTCTTCCAACTCTGTTATTGTTATTATTTTCAAGAAGAGATTGGACAACCATTTGTCTAGAATTGTGTAGGGACTCTTGCTTGAGCAGGGGGCTGGACTAGAAGATCTCCAAAGTCACTTCCAATTCTTCTTATTTTGTTACATTAACAAGACGCCGTATCCATTAATATAGAGGAGAAAAAATGGTAGAGCCCATGGTCCCCCCTTGCTTACTTACAACCATACTGAATTTTCCCAGAACTGTTACAGCTAAACATTTCTAATAAGTACCCTACTTTCCAAGGAAATACTTACATTTAAACACCTTAAGACAGCAAAAGTTTTGCCTTCCTTCAGCTTTTTCAAATGTTTGTGAAAGCAGGGAAATTACATCAGTTCCTGGTTTGGATAATGTCAATTTTTTTTTTAATCAGTGAGGAATAATTCTCGGACTGAACCTATTACTCTTGATCCTTTGTGTTTCAAGGTTTCATCCTGTCTCTCAAGGTGTTAAGCATCTACATGAAAGCACTGGGAGACCCCGTCTGAAGTGAGGTGTTAAGAGGTGTGCAATTGATACCCAACATTTGGTATCTTTGGATATTGCCTGGAAGAGAGAGAATTAGCTCCAGATCAACCCCGACTGTTCTTTAGAAGGCCAGATCCTGAAGTTGAAACTCAAGTACTTTGGCCACCTAATGAGAAGGAAGGACTCACTGGAGAAGATCCTAATGCTGGGAAAGATTGAGGGCAATAGAAGAAGGGGACGACAGAGAACGAGGTGGCTGGATGGAGTCACTGAAGTAGTAGGCATGAGCTTCAATGGACTCCAGAAGATGGTGGAGGACAGGAAGGCCTGGAGGAACATTGCTCATGGGGTCATGATGAGTCGGATACGACTTCGCAATTAACAACAATAACAACAACAACAAAATCCAGAGAAAATAATGTGATAATCTGGGTAAATATCCCAGGGGGACACTGCGACTGTCATAAATGGGAGTCAGTTGCCAAGCGTCTGAATTTTGATCACATGATGATGGGGATGCTGCTGTGGTCGTAAGTGTAAAAAATGGACATAAGGCACTTTTTTTCCAGTGCTGTTGTAACTTGAAACGGTCATTAAACGAATTGTTGTAAGTCGGGGACTCCATGTGCAACCCCACATCTCTATCCTAGCTGGATATTATTTTCCCTTTTGGAGATGACAGTGACCACAAAGTCTATTTCTTCCTTAATTTATTTTCATGGTCCTTATGACATTTTAACCCTCATCCTGAAGTTAGAACAATTAGTCAGTGGAACCAGTTGCCTCCAGAAGCTGTGAATGCTCCAACACTGGACGTTTTAAAGAAGATTGGACAACACTTTCTCTGAAATGGTAGAGGATCTCCTGCCTGAACAGGGGGTTGGACTAGATGACCTCTAAGGTCCCTTCCAACTCGGTTATTCTATTCTATTCCATTCCATTCCATTCTATTCTTCATTCCTCTATTCCACTCCACTCCACTCCATTCCATTTCATTCTATTCTATTCTTAGATTTTCTGTTTACGAACATGCAATCCTTTTAGAACAGATTTGTCTTTTGAGCACAGGAGATGAAACGAAAGCAAAGAAAATGCTAGGATTTTTATTGATATTTTTTTTTGACAGAAAAATCACATCAAGTTATGTTTTAAGGAACATTCAATGGTTGCCTTGGGGTTGGGTTTTAAAACTGACAGATCACAAGGCGGTAATTGTCGCACATTTTGTCATTCCAAGTGCCATCGCTGTACATTTCCACACATTTTTCAATTCCTGGACCGGAAGGTTCATTCTTGTACCAGTTGGTAAAATTCAAAGGAGCCCCATTCTGGAAATGGAATTTCCCTGGCACATCACTTTCAATAATACCCAGATAGGCATAACTGTTGTAAAATTGCACAATCTTCTGAATAGCTTTGTTCTCTTTCAGGTTTCTTGGTGCAGCAATGGTGCCCTGGGCTTCTTGGCAAGTCAAGTCCGCTGTCTCAAAGACAGATGCCTTTCCAGTAGAGGCAAACAGCTTATCTCCAGCAATGACTATGCTTCCTTCCAAGGTCAAAACTGTCAAGAAATTTGGAAGCCTTGCTTAGATCCTTCAAAACATATAAAGAACGGTTGCTGGAATTGGGAATGTCTAGTTTAATGAAAAGGAGGACCAGGGGTGACATGATAGCAGCGTTCCAGGATCTGAGGGGTTGCCACAAAGAAGAGGGAGTCAAGCTATTCTCCAAAGCATCTGAAGGCAGGACAAGAAGCAACGGATGGAAACTAATCCAAGGAGTGAATCAAGCTTGAACTAAGGAGAAATTGCTTGACCGTTAGAGCAATTAATCAGGGGATTAATTGTTGCAGCCATCCAAATGTGGCCGCCATTTTGTGGGACAAGGATGGGACAAAATGGAGGCTGACAGACAAAAAAAAAAGCCTCTGCATTTTGCTGCCTTGGAGAAGTCTCCGTGGGTGCTGAAGAAACCTCTGAACACACCCAAAAGTTTCTGCAGCACCATGCAGATCTTTTTTAAGGCAGCAAAAGGAAACGGCTACCATTTTGTGGACACACACGGCTGCCCTTTTGTGGACAAACACGGCTGCCATTTTGTGGACAAGACAAAATGGCTTCCGCTTTGGGAACCACAGCATGCAGCTGTGCAAAGAAGGAAGCCATTCCAGGATGCTGGAAGGTCTCAGACTTCTTCAAAAGTAAATGAAGAGGAGGAAGGTGTTTGACTAGGTGGGTGGGAATCAGTGCTAAGGCTGGAGCGGGAAAAGACCCATGGGAACCCAAGTTATGGGAAGTGGAGCATGGGGCATCCCTAGAAGATGGGGGAGGATGGGAGGGGTAGGGCTGGTGAGGCTGGGCCTGTGCCAGGCCTCCAGCAGAGTCCTCCACCCAGAATGCTCCCTAGGCTCCACTTAATGACCTGTACATTCCTTTTTCCATTTCATTGAGGAAAGCAAGCATTGTGTGTGTGTGTGTGTGTGTGTGTGTGATTAGTATTACATTTCACCTAACAACGAATGCGACCAGCGATTAAAATGGGCAGACTCCATTATAGTCACATCTCAAAGACTACTTGTAGTCTCTTCTATTGAACACCCTTAACACACACACACACACACACATACACAGAGGCGGCTTTGGGCTTTGGGACAAGGTATGGTGCGAGCCCTTTTTGAGAAGCGGATTGATGAATTATTATCCCGGGGCAACAATGTACTTTTTAAATTTCTTTTTTGACTATTTTGTTGCTGTTTTTAGCTTAAGCTGGTCAACAAGCATTTTTTATTTATTTATTTATTTATATCCTGCCTTTATTAGTTTTTTTTTACAAATAACTCAAGGTGATGAATATATCCAGCAATATATATTCAATATATTCCTCCTCCTATTTACCCTATAAAAAATAACAGCCCTGTGAAATGAATTGGGCTCAAAGAGAGGAATTGGCCCAAAGTCACCCAGGTGGGACTAGAACTCACAGTCTCCTGGTGATTGGACTAAAGCCATTCAGACAGCTTCTGTGACTATGGCAGGACTAGAACTCAGAGTCTCCTGGTGATTGGCCCAAAGTCACCCAGCTGGCTTTCATTCCTAAGGTGCGACTAGAACTCAGAGTGTCCTGCTGATTGGGCTAAAGCCATTCAGACAGCTTTTACGTCTAAGGAAGGATTAGAACTCAGAGTCTCCTGCTTTGTAGCCCTGTGCTTAGAACAAATTGGATGGCGAGTGATTAACTATACAAATGGAATTAATGAATGAGTGAACGAGTGAATGAATGAATGTATAAATGAATGAACAAGTGTTAAGTAAAATAATTTCTTTGTTTCTCTTTTTCTACTGCAAAAGCTCGGAGAGTCCATATTCCTTTTTCTAAATGATGGGAAATCACAAGTCTCATAGAACTGAATTGCTTGTGAGCTCTCCGTATTGATAGCAACCACTGTTGGGACTGGCAACTTGGTGGTTAAAGCAAAGTAGCTGCTAAGACAAACATGGTGATGCTTATGATTTGATGTCAACTTTATTTTATGTATTCATCAAGGTCGTAAATGTGAAGGTGGGATGCAAAATTACTTTTTCATCCCTGTTGCAATTGTAAATAGTTACCAAACAAGACCCACAGTACTTGTAGTTTAGTTCTGGGTATCCCCGATCCGTTATCGGGTTCAAAGATAAATAGATTTATAGAATTGACTTTATATTGTTTGATTGCTAAGTGGCAATCTGGTTGTACCTGAGTGGAACTAAAAGGCTTGCAATTTCTTTTCTGGTTTTTGTTCGAAAGTGGCAATAAATTTTCTGAACTGCTATTTTATGAAGCCATTAAGGTTGAAAAAAAAAATAGCAGTGTCTGGTTTGTACCATGGCCGTATGCTGATGGAAGCTGCTATTCCCAACTGTAAAAAAAAATGGTATTTATGGCTTCAAGCAAAGGGGTTGGACTAGATGACCCCCAAGGTCCCTTCCCTTTGATTCTAAGTTGAATCTCTCATGATCCTGTCACGTATTCAGTCTAAAAACGACATTTGGTAATTCAGTGAAGAAAAATCAATGAATGTTATGAAGTCCTCTGAATGATATGCTGGATAGAATACACTCTTAAAAATAGAGGGACAATCTAACTTTAGGTTATCACGTTCTTTATCAGTTGGTAAAATTAAAAAAAAAAAAGTCCCTGTTCCAGAAATTGAATTTTCCTGGATCATTATTTTCAATAATACCCAGATAGGCATTAACGGTTATAATATGGCATAGTCTTCTGAACAGCTTTGTTCTCGTTCAGCTTTCTTGGCGATGCAAGGGAATAAGAATAAAAACTACTCACCCACTTTTAATCTGAAAAAGAGAAAGGGAAGCCATTAAAATCATACCTCTTTCCATTCGGGCGATTCTACGTTGGAATTCTTTGATGTCGTTTTGTAGCTTAGGATCTTGACTGGCAGGCAGACCTGTGAATGAAAAATAATGGATGTTCATTGTCCCACGGTTCAGTTGAAGTTATTACTACTCTTACTTGACTATATGATCCTGTGACATGAGTTGGGACGGTACTTTCCTTGAATGGTGCATTGGAGTACAAATTAGCAATAGCCTGATAGATTAGATAACAGAATGATTAATTGATTGATTTATAGGCCTAGAGTATCTTTCAACCGAAACAAATGGATTTTGTTTTGTGTAGCAAATACATTTTGGTGTCTTCCTTTTTCTGAAAACTTCCCTGAACCCAATGTTATATTTATTATTCTTTTTTTAAAAAACAACAACAACCAAGGGACTCTGTTCATCCACAAAAATATTAATAAGAGGCTCTTGCAAGCCCTTCCACCGAGTCCCTTAATATCGGTATGCCAGGGTTTGCAACATATATGTGTATTGGTGGGTCTTCAGGCTATTGTTGACGCCTCCATCCATATCCCAAAGATGCTTTTTCAGGAGGCAACTGGACTTTCTTGTTTTTCTTTGAAGACGTTTTGCTTCTCACCCAAGAAGCTTCTTCAGTTCTGACTGGAAGGTGGGGAATGGAAGGATTTATACTCCTTGCAGACAGCCGGTCATTTGCCTTGTTTTAGAGGGTCGTTGAGGCCATTTGAAGGTTTACCTGTGTCCTCGGGGCCACCTGAGTAGTGCAAATGGGTGTGGAGCCTTCTTGGAACTGTTAAAAGAACTGTGTTGTAGACTGGAGACAGTCCTTTCAGACAGTCCTGAAGATTTTTTCTTTCAACAATGACAATAGGATTGTGGAGGAAGAGGAACAAGTCCAAACACAAAAGCCCAAGAAGGCATGTAAAAACCCACCACTCCCAGCTGCATTTTGTCAGCTTTCCCAGAACCACAGGCTGTTGGTTCTTTTCTTCAATAGACAGAACCTTCTTCCTAAACAGCCTCCATTTTATTTATTCCCGGCTTGGACTGGACCTGAAGATTTTTTCTTTCAACAATGACAATAGGATTGTGGAGCAAAATCAACAACTATCTTTCGATCGCAGAAGGCAAACATCTCCATGAAGTCAAGTGCTCTCGTAACTGATTTCCATCTCTGCAATAACTCTCATAATTTTAGCCTCTGCTTCAAGGTGAATCATTTCGGAGAGTTCGTCTCATCCATCTCTATTTCATAAAAGGGATTCCTGTTGATTTTTACCCCTCCCACTTCCAAGAGCTGGAGAGCTCGATTGCCAAATTAATATGTAATGCCCAGCTGCCTAGGCAACACAACAGCCCACAAGGAAAGCTTGATCTCCTTTTCATTTAAGAAAATATCTAGAAGATGGTTGAATTTAGTGACACTAATTACCGCCTAGATGAAAACAGTTTACAAAAATTGGGGGAACTTCTAAATTTCTTCAGAAGGCATGACTTCTATTAGGTTGAAGTAGTCTTGCAAAATAGCGTGTGCAAGCTTTTGAATGCGCCAGGAGGTGGTTCAGAATGCTTCATCAGGTAATATAGGAATCAAAGAGATTTTTAAGAAGGGAAGAAGAGGGTCGTCATTGTTTTTTGTTTGGGATTCTGGATTGGGCCAAGCCAGACGTTGAGACAAGCATATCTGCTTAGGTCTGGGAGCCTCTAAGACGCTCACAAAAAGGATGACATTCAATCACCTGGTGGACCAGGAGGACCTCTGGAACCTGGATTGCCTCTTGGTCCTCGAGGGCCAGGACCTCCATTTTGTCCAGGTGGGCCTTGGGGACCTGTTCAAAGGAAAACAAGAGATGTAATTGTGTAACATTCTTGAGCGCTTATTTTAAATTTTGGATATGGAAAGCATTGGATTTGTGATTGATCAGTTTGTTGCTCTGTTGTAGAAACAGAAATGTATCTTTAATTACCCAAACCCTCAAAAATGGGGTTCACAATATCTATAAACCTTCTTTTATTTTATATATTGATGTAAAACATTTCTACAGCTGCCTATCTTTTAACCAACTCTGGGAAGCTTCCAATCCAAAAATAGCCATGCCCCACCAGTAAAGAATAGAATAGAATAGAATAGAATAGAATAGAATAGAATAGAATAGAATAGAATAGAATAGAATAGAATGGAATATGGAATATGGAATATGGAATATGGAATATGGAGAATAGAATAGAATAGAATAGAATAGATCTGGAAGGGCCCTTGGAGGTCTTCCAGTCCAGCCCCCTGCTGAAGCAGGAGAACCTATACCATCTCAGACAAGTGACTGTCTAGCCTCTTCTTAAAAATCTCCACAATTTCTGAAGGCAAGCTGTTCCACTGGTTAATTGTCCTCACTGTTAGGAAGTTTCTCCTTAATTCCAGGTTGCTTCTCTCTTTGGTCAGTTTCCAACCATTGTTTCTTGTCCTGCCCTCTGGTGCTTTGGAGAATAGTTTGACCCCCTCTTCTTTGTGGCAGCCCCTCAAATACTGGAATACTGCTATCATGTTGCCCCTTTTTCTTCTTTACTTTAGACTAGCCAAACCCAAGTCCTGCAGCCGTTCTTCATATGTTTTAGTCTCCAGGCCTTGGATCATCTTAGTTGGATCTTCTCTGAACTTTTTCCAAGGTCTCAACATCTTTTTTTGTAGTATGGTGACTAAAACTGGTCGCAGTATTTCAGGTGTGGTCTCACTAGGGCAATGGTTCTCAACCTTTTTAATGCCGCGACCCCAACCGGTCGTAAGTCGAGGACTAAACCGGTTGTAAGTCAAGGACTAAACCGGTCATAAGTCGAGGACTAAACCGGTCGTACATCGAGGACTACCCAACCGGTCGTAAGTCGAGGACTTTCCCTTCCCGGGAGCGCCATGCATGCGTGGTTCCGCCCCCTGCGCCGGCCGAGGCGTAGCTGGCAAGCGGCAGAGACGGAGCAGGGCGACCACCAGCTGGCCCAGCCCAAGGGAGGTAAGGCACCCGACGGAAAAGGGGAAAAAAATGGCAGACAGCCTTGCTTGGCGACCCCCGTGAAATGGTCGATCGACCCCAAATGGGGTCGCGACCCATAGGTTGAGAACCGCTGCACTAGGGTTTTATAAAGCGGTACTAATACTTTGCGTGAACTTGAAGTCCACAGCTACACATTGAGAAGGTAAAGGCAGATTATGGAGCAAAACCAATAACAATCTTGGGATTGCAGAAGGCAAACATCTCCATGAAGTCAAGGACTTTCCTAACTGATTGGCATCTGTACAATAACTCTCCTAACTTAGTCTGTTCTTCAAACTGGTGAATCATTTCCAAGAGTTTGTCTCACCCATCTTTATTTTGTGGAATGAGTTCCTGTTGATTTTCACCCCTCTACTTCTAAGAGTTGGAGGGTTTGATTGCAAATTTTTATGTATTTATTGTCTTACTACTTTAATCATTTACTATATCATTTTATCAGATTGAAAGCTGCCCAGGTAGTGAGATGGGAGCAAATGAATTGAATAAATTGATAAATGAATGCCCAGTTGCCTAGGCAACACAACAAAACTCAAGGACAGCTAAATCTCCTTTTCATTTAAGAATACCTAGAAGATGACTATGTTAATGGCACTAATGATTGTCTGGAAGAAACCAAATTTACCAAAAAATAGGGGCACTTCTAAATCCCTTTGGGGAGCATGATAAAGATGAAGGAGTCCAGAATGTTTCATCAGGCAATGGAAGAATCAAAGAGAGTTTGAAAAAAAGGAAGAAGAGGATTCGCGTGTGTTTTGTTTGGAATTTTGAAATGGGCAAAGCTAGATATTGGGACAAGCATATCTGGGAGGTCTGGAAGGAAAGCCAATGAAATGGAGATACTCCATCACCTGGTGGACCAACTGGTCCTCTGATGCCTGGTGTTCCTTGGGGACCTGTTCAAAGGAAAACATATCCATGTAAATGTGTCACTCTCTTTAATATCCTTGGGCACCAATTTCAAATTTCAGATATAAAAAAGCATTGGAGTTTTGGAAGATCAGTTCATCATTCTGTTGTAGAAACATAAATATATCCTGAACTTCAATGACCCAAACTCTCAAATTGGGATATACAATATCTATCAGGCTCTTTTCCTTTCCTTTCCTTTCCTTTCCTTTCCTTTCCTTTCCTTTCCTTTCCTTTCCTTTCCTTTCCTTTCCTTTCCTTCCCTTCCCTTCCCTTCCCTTCNTTGTTATTTCCAAGCTTACCTGGACAATTTATCTGCCCATGAGCTTCTACCAGTAAAGCAGCTGTTACGGCAAAAATCTGAACCAGGTGGGAGGACAGCATCTTTTGTCAACCAGCTAAATGAAGAAAAATATTTTCAGCAGGTGGCCTTGCATCAACATAATTTTTATTTCCAAAATGACTCCCAACAAATTGAAAAAAAAAAAGATTGAGGAGACTTACACCTGGATATAATGAGCAGATTATTTAAATTAGAGAATGACATGATTGTCAATAGTGTCGGTATGGTGAGTAGTGGAAGGTAAAACGTAGGCTTAGGAGGCAATTTTTTTAAAAAAATATCAGCCAGAGTTGCAGAATTCCACCCTCCGTGCATCAAATAAAGTTTCCTTCATAATCCATACCTCAGTTTTGCACTTTTATGATGAAACAGCTACTTGCACTTCTGGGAACAAGTTGATGCTGCAAAGAGTATTTATGGAAAGCGGAGTGCATATTAAATAGTCTTGATTTTGGCTAGTGAAGATCCATATCATTGCATTATAGAGTATCCCCATGTCTCAAAAAGTTATATCACTTCACTATGGGAAGGTCACATCTTCTTCAGATTGAACTCAACTTCTAGTGCCTTCAAAAACATATTCATGTAGTCTCTTGGCAACAGCATGGAAGTGGATTCCCTTTGCCTATTTTAATTATTTTTTTAAAAAAATTGACTTTTCTGGACACCCAAATATCTGGTCCAACTTTAAAATTAGCCACCCAGCTGACTTTCTTATCTTAAGTTCCACCAGTCTGAACTTGTGACCCACCACAATAGGAACAGGTGAGAACTAATCCGTCCTGTTGATTCAAGCAATACGTTAACATATCCTCTTATTTTTAGTTTTCTTAAAGTTTGTTAGAATTGTGAATACAGAATAAAAACTAATCGGAACTAATCATTAGAATGAAAAAAAAACAAGAAAGAAGAAAAGAGCAAAAATCAAAGTAGAGAAATTGAAGAACAGAAACAAAAGGATTATAAAGAAGTGATTTCCAATTTTTTTTTATAGCAGCTATAAGTATCAATATAAGCTAACCTCTTACAGCGTAGATTTCATTTTTCCCATGGTCTATTGTTTTTAGTCTAATCCTCAAAACTGTACATCATGACTTCATTTTTCTTTTCTGTTTCCCCCAAAAATCAATAAGGGGTGCCAATCATCATTACACTTAGACTATCTCCTCTCTTTAATTAAAGTAGTCAGTTTGGCCTTCCCAGCAAACATCAAAATGTCTTCTTGATAGACCACATTGTATTCTATTTTACTTGGCAATAGACAAAATTTAATAATTGCAGTCTGCAGCAGTGAAGTAGACCCTTTGCAATAATTTATTATCATTTGTTTAGAAAATGTTTGATACTTCCTCCCTCTTTAAACTAGTCGTTTTATTTCCATCTCTTTGTTCTACTAGTGGCTATGACATTGTCAACAGCATTTTCTTTAAACTGATAAATTAAAAAGGTGAAAATATCTGAATGACAACCCAGTGCTACCCTTCTTTATTGGAAAAGTATATATTTAAATTACTTTAAAATTGCCTTTCTCCCCCTTTTCAATTTTAATTCCAATTAAGTCAGCACGACAGGCTATTCATTATTATTATTACTACATTGCTTGGTGTATTAATTTTAAAATTGGCATTGCATCTTTATGGACTTCTAAAGCATATGATGGAATGCTATAGATATCTACTCAAAAGAAAGTTCTGCTAAATCATTAGGACCCTTCCACAACCAATTAGATAGAAGTTGTAGCTTTGAACGAAGGATTTTAACTTACCCTTTCGCTTCAGAACAAAATAATGAGGAATGGTGAAAAAATTTCAATTTATAGTATGTGTATACAATTGTTGTCAGGTCTTCATTCTCTACCAGTGCCTTCTGTTTTATTTATATAGTTGTTCCATTACGGAAAAAAGATTTAGCAAAGCTAGAATAGTCATCTGTCAATAGTGATTGTCTTTCAGAAATAAGATATACACAGTATAAAAAATAATCCATGTTCTTGGACAATACCATAGACCAATGGAGAAAAATAAATCTTTCTGCTAAAAATTGTTTGCACATATAAGGTTTCCATAGGACAATCTAATTCATTCATAACGATATATGCCTTGTAATTTTTGATGCTTATCCAAACACAGGGCTAATAACTTTTCTCTAGAAATCTGACTTCTTTGTGTAACATTATCTGTCCACACAGCAACAGTATGTACATAGACAGATGGAACAAAAACATGATTAGAAATCTGACACAGTTGACTTGGAACATATACCATGAGAAGGATGTCCTGTTCCATGTGGAAGACATAAAAACAATGCACCAAGAGCTCCACAACAGAAAGAAAGATTGCTATACAAAATTAGTTACGCAATCCTAGAGTCCAACAGTTGGAAGGGTCCTAAAAGGTCACCGAGACCAACTTTGGCTCAGGGTAGGAAATCAAAACAAACCATCCCAAACAGGTGGTTAGTTAGCCTCTGCTCAAAAACTTCCAGAAAAAGGGGATTCTGCCCTGATAGAAGCCACGATGACATGTTAAATTACATGAATCATTATGGGAAAAACAGAGTTTAGTAACTTGCACAAATTGTACAGTCCCGGTGATTCATACAAGGACATTGCCACAGCATGTGTGACATTTCTTGTCTCACTTTTCCCAGGTTTCACCGTCAAACTAATTTTTTCCTATTAGGATATTTTTCATAAGATTCTAACAGAATTTCCTTTCCAGTGTTTTAAGATCATGATTTCATCTCTGGAACAGGAAGTAGAGGACAGGTCCTTTATCAAGTAATCCAAAATGCTATTATATCTTCCATTGGTTATCTTTCTCAAGGCTAAACATCCCTAATTCTTCACGTTCTTTTTTCTGGATTTAGGTCGAGTCCCTTTGACTAGAAGACCTCCAAGATCCCTTCCAGCTCTATTCTACTCTAATTCTAATCAGTAAGATGAATTTTGTTGCCATTCTTTCTTCTACCATATCTGAGATGCAAAAAATTGGATGACCACCAGATGTCAGCCAAGAATTGGAGTCCTTAATCTAGTTGCTGCCACCTTCAGGACAATTGCATATTTGCAGTCCAGATATGGCAATCTTAACTTTGAGTCATAGGTAAACAAATGATTTTGAGGTATAATTCAGCAAATGGGTTATAACGGAAGTCTATAGGGGTGTGATAAATGGACTGTAGCTGTAGGGATCTGATTGTAGGTGTAGGGATCAGTTTATGTCACACCCTCCTTAATTCCTGAGATTCTATGGAGCAGCAACCTCTTTGGCTGAAGCAAGACAGCCGTGCATGCACAAAGGAGCCTTCACACAAACACAACATGGGAGAGACAAAGTTAGTCTCTGTATGTGAGCAGATGATGAACTAGGGGAAAAAAAGCCTTTTGTGGCCTGGTTGAGGGCAACAGAAGAAATGGAGGCCGACTGCATCTATGGATGGAGAAGATGAGGAAAATCATAAACATTCTTTAAAGACTTCTATATTTTTTTTAACTGTCCAATGTCTGTGGAGATTCTCAATCAGCCAGGTCATGGTTGTCCCAAAGGTGCTTTTTCAGGAGGCAACTGGACTTCCTTTGTTTTTCTTTGAAGACGTTTCACTTCTCATCCAAGAAGCTTCTTCAGCTACAAATGACCAGCCGTCTATAAGGAGTATAAATCCTCCCATTCCCCCACCATCCAGGGAGACCTGAAGAAGCTTCTTGGATGAGAAGCGAAACGTCTTCAAAGAAAAACAAGAAAGTCCAGTTGCCTCCTGAAAAAGCACTTTGGGGCTCACTGTCACTTATTGCCCCACAGTCACCCAAAATGGCCCCAACGTGGTTGCTAACATAGTTGAAACATATAGTTGAAACAATAGGAATCATAGTTGAAGTCCAATCAGTTGAAGGACTTTGATTAGTACAAGACAACTTATTATAAGTGACCTCTTAGACCAGTGGTTCTCAACCTGTGGGTCGCGACCCCATTTGGGGTCAATCGACCATTTCACGGGGGTCGCCAAGCAAGGCTGTCCGCCATTTTTTCCCCTTTTCCGGCGGGTGCCTTACCTCCCTTGGGCTGGGCCAGCTGGTGGTCGGCCTGCTCCGTCTCTGCCGCTTGCCAGCTACGCCTCGGCCGGCGCAGGGGGGGCAACCACGCATGCGCGGCGCTCCTGGGCAGGGAAAGTCCTCGACTTACGACCGGTTGAGTAGTCCTCGACTTACGACCGGTTTAGTCCTCGACTTACGACCGGTTTAGTCCTCGATTTATGACCGGTTTAGTCCTCGACTTACGACCGGTTGGGGTCGCAGCATTAAAAAGGTTGAGAACCACTGTCTTAGACCCTTTTTTTGGCCTTCAAACAGCTGGTAAACAACAGCTTGGACTCCGTGATGTGGAATTAAACTTTTTACAAATAACCGTTTATAATTTCTTTCTTTCCTGCAATGCAATAGCTGGACAGCTCTCCAAATCCTCTTTGAATATGCTTTCATCTCCTTAATGCGCATTGCACTGGAAATAATTTCTCTCAACAAATACTGGGTGACTGTTTAAATATTATGGGAGCAACCGGTAATTAACTACACAGTGTTAGTTTTGCCGTAAGATGTTCAAACTGTGTGTTTAAGAGTGCGCCTCTACCCTGTGCTAATCATGGTCTATTAAAGCAGTCCTCAGAAAGTATCATTTTTAAAAATATTTGTTCATATTCTTTTTTAGGGGACTCATTTTCAGTCATGCTTGATGCTGGTTTGAAAAGGCCTTCTTATTGTTTTACTCTGTTCTTGGTATCGTTGAGAGATAAGACTGATCATGATTAAATTGTACTGAATCCATTCCTTTTAAAGAGTTATCAGAAGAATAGAATAGAATAGAATAGAATAGAATTAGAATAGAATAGAATAGAATAGAATAGAGTAGAGTAGAGTAGAGTAGAGTAGAGTAGAGTAGAACAAAACAGAACAGAACAGAACAGAACAGAACAGAATAGAATAGAATAGAATAGAATAACATAATTGGAAGGGACCTTGGAGGTCATCTAGTCCAACCCCCTGCTCAGGCAGGAAACCCTATACCATTTCAGACAAATAGCTGTCCAGTCTCTTCTTAAAAACTTCCAGTGTTGGAGCATTCACCGCTTCTGGAGGCAGGTTGTTCCACTGGTTAATTGTTCTAACTATCAGGAAATTTCTCCTTAGTTCTAAGTTGCTTCTCTCCTTGATTAGTTTCCATCCGTTGCTTCTTGTCCTGCCCTCAGTTGCTTTGGGGAATAGATTGACTCAGTCTTCTTTGTGGCAATCCCTGAGTTATTGGAACATTTGGCATAAGTAAAATCTCCTTCCAGTTGAACTCAAGTGCTAGTGATTGAACTCAAGGTGGTAGTATCTAATGCTCAGTGACTGAACTCAGGTTGAACTTAATACCTGGTCAAATTCATCTAGATTTCTTGACAGAAATACTGAGCTAGTTTTCCATTGCCCTTTTCCACAATGTTTTGGATTTTTTTAAAAAAGAAAATTTATATGGCCACTCAACTCACTCTCAATGACTTTGAATGGCTTACAAAGATAAAAATCTCATATAAAACACAATAAAGTGCAATAACCCCCAAACCTTGGCGACAACCATCAGTCAATCAATAAGCCACTTGATGGACTCCATGCCAGTCTGAGTTTCTTTCTCTTTTTAACTTCCCTATGTGGACTGAATTTCCAAGTGATTTTCCACTCAGTTTTTTAACCTGGATCAAACCAACTCATGTTTTTGAAGGCAACCGGTGTCAACTGCCCTCCACTCAAAATCCTGAAATTATTAGAACTATGATGTGTCCTAAGTACTATACAAACACAAGGCACGGTCTGCTTATTTCCCTCCCCTATTGGATTCATATCCATTCTATTAATATTTGGTCCTGAGAGTCTTCAAAACAAATCTCATTACAAATAAGGAAGTCAATGACCATACGCCTCCCAAAGGGCCACTTATTAATTGACTAATGGGAACATAACAGGTGCCCAAGTGGGATGAGGCACCCACTACTCTGAGCAAGGAAGCTGAACAACTGGAGGAAGGAGTCTTCAAGAAAATCAGAAGCAGTAGTCAGAATGCTTTTATTTGGCATGCTTTTATTGTAGCCAATCATCCAGCTTATTTTGAGTGATGAAATAGTTTGTTCTTTCAAATATCACCCACTGTAAAATCGATCAGTGATATTCTTTCCTTTGGCTAACTTCTTCGATGGTCTCAGTATTGTTTTCAAACTGAATAGATAGATAGATAGATAGATAGATAGATAGATAGATAGATAGATAGATAGATAGATAGATAGAGATGGATGGATGGATGGATGGATGGATAGAGACAGACAGACAGACAGACAGACAGACAGACAGATAGATAATTATGACATTCATGTCCAGATTTACATTAGTTTTTGAAAGGCACGAGAATATTCCTGGAGAATTCAGAAAGGAACATATAATTTTCACAATATCTGAATTTACACTTGTACAAAACTGCTCTGCTCTTCAGATGAACGTGGACATGCTTGAGATAAATTATTTCTAACCCAAAGGAACAATCAAACCCTAATCATCTGTAAATCATTATTTTAATTTCTTTTAAAGTTATCCAGAAATTAGAAATCCTTGATTCTACCCACCAGATCATCACATGTTACCGATTTGACTCTCAGGCTTCCGAATACTGGGAATTGTAGAAGACTGAAGGCTGATGAGGGCTTTACAACAAATATATATTCAGAGGACTACAGTTCCCAGAAGCCATGACGATTCCATTGGCTTAGATGTTAAAATAGGACATTTTAAAATTCACAGATAACGAGACGATACTGGTTGCATTTTTTGTCATTCCAACTTCCATCGGTTTGCATCTCAACACAATTTTCTGACCCTTTTCCATTTGGTTCATATAGACGCCAATTGGTATAATTCACAGGCGTTTCATTGAAATACTCAAAGGCTCCGGGAACTGAGCTCTCCTTAATTCCCAAGTAGGTGTATTGATTTTGTTCTTTCACAATTTTCAAAATAGCATTGTTCTCCTTTTCATTCATGGGCTTTGCGATGGATCCCCCTGAAAGCTGACATGTCTGGATTATCGCGTCAAAGCCAACTGACTTCCCATTGGTACTAAATATTTTGTCCTCCACCTTATTTATCAGACCCCTCAAGGCCAGAACTGCAAAAGAGAAGAAAAAGCACAATTATCCATCTGGTCCTACCATCCAGCAATTTATCAGTTGCTTTTGCAACTGCCACATCATGACTCTTCATGCATAAACTAAATACGTTTGAATTAGTCCAGGTCTGATCCATGCTACTGTCTCAGATACCCCTCTATAAACCTGTCCCACCTCTGTACTAATCTAAAAATATCTCTCCAAATGAAAATTCAGATTGAAATGTTTCGGAGTCAGTTTCGGCTAAGTTCCACCTCCATAATACTTGTCTATACCCATGTTGGGGAAGTGTTTGAATCTCACAATTGATCATCTGCAGTAGAACTACGATTTCTGAAACACTTCCAGTTAAGTGGGGAAAAGCAGTGGAGCGTCAAAACCTCCAAACATTTTGGATAACATCCTTATTCCCCTCGCCCAATGCCCTCCTAAATGTGTTTTCCAACAATAATTGTTGATAGACACATTTATGTATTACTTACAGGAGAGTTTTACATGCCCAGCTGATTTTTAGAAGTTTACATTTTTTTTCTTTTTATTATTATTATTATTATTATTATTATTATTATTATTATTATTATTATTATTATTATTATTATTATTATTATTATTATTATTATTATTATTATTATT